GAAAGAGCCCTGTGAGCCTTATCCACGAATGCCAGCAAACTTTAATATGAAGAAGCTGTTTGTGCTCACTACCTATGAGATCACTTTTGATAATATTTTATTGTCTAGAAGCTTTGCCTTCATAAAGCTGATTATCTTAATACTGTCTTCTAACACAGTTTCAAATTTAGAGGACATACCTTATTGCCTTGGCTGCCAAGATTTCCTTATGAATGAAACAATGAATTCAGAGAACATCAGGTGTCACAGTTCTAATTTTAGCTACAACACTACTATGCCTACTGGCAAGCACACAAGACTGATGCAAACACAAACTTATATATTTTTTCCAATCAGTTTCATGCTTTTGCACATATGCATTTATAATTTTAAAAATTTGTTCTGTATGAGCCGACAGAGACTTCAAAAATAACATACTTTCATTAACATAACAGTTAAATTCATCCCTGATATAAACAAATCACCTTTGCATTATTCAAAACATCTGTTGTCTTGTCTATATAAAGTGAGTAAAATGGAAAGAAATTTTAAAATTCTACTATTAAGTCCAGATACTACATTACTGCTCATGCTTTTGATTTAGCATGTCACCTTGTTATTTGAGAGTAGTATTAAATTTGTGTCCTTAGATAACTTTTCACTAAAAATAGTTTTAATTACATGTTTTGTAACTGGAAGCATTCAAGTCTCACTTATAGAATGGAGTATCCCACTCTTCACAAAGTGAGGACTTGCAAGACAGAAAGTTTCTAAGGCCTTTGAAATGCTGGAATCCATATTACAAATTATTTCTTTATTCAGGTCTTCAACATTTCATTAAAAAAAAGGTGATGGCTTTACATTTTACACTTGCATGTGCCAGTTTACTGGGTTTCATATACTCATTTGCAAGAACTTTGTAACATACAATGTACTGAGATTTTGGTTCACTCTCATTACCACATGCAGTAAATCCAAATTCCATATAACCTGTCAGTTTTACGAAAGTACTTTTTTATTTGAATAGCAATGAATACCATAAGTGTTGCCTGATCATGCAATTTTATGCAACTTTGATACTTTTGACAAACTTATGCTATTAAAATTTATATATGTTCATGCACTCGTGTGAATTTTCTGTTGCTTCATAATTTTGTGGTGCTACTTTTCACTGCTTATTTTTTTAAAAAACTTATAACAAAATTCATACATGTTAATATAATGATTCTATTAAAATTAAATTATATTAAAAGTAATAAATTATTTAGACATTAATAAAAAATTGTTAACTGGCAAACCTGTAGTAACAATAATCCATGACTGCATAGGCTACCATTCTATTTTCAACAATAATAGTATTTATTATTGTTGAAATGGGTATTTTCATGTTTCAGTGAATGCTTTGTTTAATATTTCAGTGATCTATGAGCAGAATTTCAATCTTAAGGTCAGATTATAGGTATTGCTAATTGAGTAAAAGGTGAATTATGAGCAACAAGAAAAAATTCAACACCACCTTTCAAAATACTTGGGTTGAAATAGCCATGCTTGAAAACTGGCTAAATGCTTACTAAATTAACCATGTTTGAGAATCGGCTAGAAAGAACAAAAACATACAGTTAATTGTAAAAATGTGAACCAAGGGCACTTGAGATTAATTTAATGAAACACAGTACTTCTAGTGAAACTTATAGAAGCTAAGCCGTGAAAGTTTGTTCAAAACTGAAATAGCAGTCCCACTGCAAACAGAAACACAAATAAATTCAACAGTAAAAGAAGGTAGCTGTTTATCCCCAATCAGAATCTAACGAAGTGAAATATGTTGAACAATCAGAATTAAATATTAACCAAAAGGCTTAAAAAATTAATAAAAAAATAAACTGTCAACTCAAAAGAATTAGCCCAACAACATTAACAGATCAAACATGAAAAATCATCAATTTAACAATGGATATAAATAAACTATACTCAAAAGAATTAGCCCAACAACATTAACAGATCAAACATGAAAAATCATCAATTTAACAATGGATATAAATAAACTATCTGACAGATAAAAACCTATATTAACTGAGAATTAATTAAAAAAAAAGAAATGGAGATTTAAACAAAGAAAACATAGCAATTTGGCATTAAAACTTTAAAACCTGATATGTGTAATATAACATCCAGGAATCTAATTACAATCATTAGCCTATGGAACCTTGGAGACCGAATCTGTGATGATATCCGAGGTCATGTGAGCTTACTAATTTACGATGACACAAAATTATTCAATGTCTGGCATCACATACTACTTTTTGTGATTTTTCAATGCTTCTCCAGTTAATTCAACTAAAAATTTCTGGCAACAAGTACCACTAGATGCTTCTTTAAAGACTCTAGCATCGCTGATATTAATATTAAAATCATACGCATGTTCTGTGCTATGAATATTGCCTAAATAAATATCAAAGATCTCGTTCAAGTTTCCAATTACGCACAATGGGCACTCTATGAAAGAGACAATTACTAATGTATATCACATAGGAAGGATTTAAAACAACTGCATAATTACTAGACTAATGGACAAGCAACAAAACAACAATGCACATAATTTCTGGTAAGATACTTTCCATTGGTTACAAAGAAAAAAGGGCCAGATATAAAGCAAAATAATGACAAACAGCATTACAATCCAGTATCTGATAATAAATTTTAAAAAATATCATTCTTGGGAGGAAACGTGACAGACAATGTTATCTCTCATTTAAATACTCCAAGTTTGTTTGTTTGGAAATGTAGGAGGACTATATTCCGAGAAACTCTGCATCAGAGTATTACATAACCTACAATTCTGAGTAGAAAATTAATTTACACTGTGATTATTCTTAGAGTATTTATCTTGATATACATTCATCCCACAAATAATTTAATATTAAATATCCATTATTAAATTTTTCTAAATATCAAACTTCATTGCATTAGCCTCAATAGACTTAAAAAAATGAATTTAATTTGAAATATCACACAAATTTTTCCCATAAATTTAAGGATACAGTCAAAAGTCTTTAATCCAGACTCGTCGAGACTTCGGAGATTCCGGATTATAGATCATCAATTTAAATCTGGTAAGGTGGCATGCAGAAATTATAAAATTAAAAATATGAAACCTTAATTTATGAAATAAAGAGCAATTATGATCTAAAGGGTGTCAAAATTTACAAAAAAAAAAAAAAAAAAAAAGAGCTTAATATTTATTTGTTTACTTTATTAAACATTTCTTTCAACGCGCTCATGCGTAAAGCATACATTACTAATAGTTGAAATTAGAAAATTGCAACCAGAAAACTATTTGATGTGTATTCATGATATTTATAATGACGAGAAATTTGATTTACCATATATACCTGCGTATAAGTCGACCCCCCCCCACTTCGACCTAAAAAATTCGTAGAAAATAAGAAACCCGCGTATAAGTCGACCCCCCACTTCTGAAAACGATAGAGAAACTTCGGAAAATTTTTTTTAAGTACTACATTTATTCAAAATCATCTGAGAAAAAAAAAGTAAATATACGATAAAAAATACCTTTGTAAATAAACAAAATCAAAATCCTTCAATGTCCGATTCGCCAAACATTTCACAGAACTCTTCTGTCGTCATTGGCTCGTCATCATATTTCAACATATTTTCAACTCTGATTAGTTCGTCACATAATTTAAGTCATGAAATTACTTCAAGTAAGTGACTTATTTGATAAGTCACCCAATTTCAGTGCAGGAAGAAAACAACTGCATTATATAAAGAAAATTTTGAACTCGTGATTCTAATTTTTTATGGCCCCGCGTATAAGTCGACCCCCCACTTTGAAGTCTTTTTTTTGTCCAAAATATCTCGACTTATACGCGGGTATATACGGTAAATCATATCAAAGACGGAGTACATCGAGATGAAATACTACATTTAGTAAGGAATTATAAGCTGAATAAAATAAAAACATCTGCCCTGAGGATAGTGCTGACAGATCAATTTCCAGTTCATTGCGCACCGCGACGTTTATGCATTTATGCATGCGCAGAAAGTTTGTAGCTTTGAGGTCCGGATTATGGACATCTGGATTAAAGACTTTTGACTGTATATCATATTTAATAATGTAATTCACAAACCTGCATTTTTACCTTAATATTAACAATGTTTACAATCATGCTGAATTAGAAGCATATGGAAAGTATGGGAGTTCTCTTAAAATAATCCTTTCTTTACTTAAACCATATAAGTAAAATGTGTGCTTTTTTTTCTTTCTTTATTTTAATGTTTTAACATTTCACTAGGTAGAATTTTTTTTCTTCTGTACAGAATTACATATGAATATCATACATAACCAATGTTTTCATGACTTTATTCCTTTGACCAGCAGATAAATGGTACGCTTTATTATTTGAACTGTTGCAAATCCTTTTTGGAAGGGGGGCTGTCAATATACAACAACAAAGTTCATCAACATATATTTTCATTTACTGTGCATATATAACCAACACGAGGTTATTCAGATGGATATTTAAAAAAGCAGGTTGTTAAAATCACTCAATATTATGAAAAATATATTATAGGTATTGCTAATTGAGTAAAAGGTGAATTATGAGCAACAAGAAAAAATTCAACACCACCTTTCAAAATACTTGGGTTGAAATAGCCATGCTTGAAAACTGGCTAAATGCTTACTAAATTAACCATGTTTGAGAATCGGCTAGAAAGAACAAAAACATACAGTTTTTGTTCTACGTTTAAAAATTATAATCATGACATTTACGTAGCACTGAAGAAATAATTATAATTTGCTCAATAATACTTTTAAGAAATTATATAATACAGAAAAATTTACTATCAAGTAGTGCAATATTCCCTAGCCTCACAGTTTTTAAATGATTAAAAATTCACACATATCATAAACAAAACCTTTCAATGCAAGGCAATTATAAAAGCTCGCTTAAATTTGATGTAATACTAAACACTAATTTTATAACAGTAAGTTAACTCACCATAGCCATCAGGAAGTTCCACTGCCTGATGAAGATGGTTCCTAGACAAATAATTTCTGTGCCTAGTCGATCTTCTTCTTGAGTGCACACTTCCACAGCTAACACCATTACTTGTGCTACTTGAATTATTTTCAGAATTACTTGAATTTAGATTATTAAAGTTCATATTGGAATTAGAGTTCGTATTAGAAGATGAAGTGTTGCTTGTAGCATTGTTGCACACTTGGCTAGTATTAGCACGATTATTATTGTTATTGTTGTTGTTGCTGTGCCCATTGGCTTGCTCAATTTCATATGCTGTCCTGCAAAAGTAAAAATGTAAGTTTACTAAATCCTTTATAAAATAAAAAAATTCGCATATAATTATTGTGAAATGAATAATTTTGCAACAAAATATTCACAAATCATATGCTATCAGAGATCACAAATGATATCAGAGTATATACACAGTATAACAGAAATTTCCGATTATCTGCATCGCTGCTGAAAAGTTGCAGAAAAGTGTTCAACAAGCAAAACAATTAAGACACAATAACACGCCGAATAAATACTAATTAAGAAGTCAAACAACAAAAATTTTCCTATCTTGTTCATTTGCAGTTTTGCAGCTGAGGATGGTGGTTCGGTAAAACCATCTAAACTAGTCCTGTGAAAATTTTGTAAATATAACGCTAATTTTTGTTGTTTGACTTCTGAATAAGCAAAACAATATCTATTTTGACAAGTGTACAATGTTGAATTTGTATTGTTCTCTGATTTTTTTTAAAGCAAAAACAGATTACTACATACATGGGTAGAACAAGAGTACCAAATAGATTTCCCCCAAAAAGGTAAGTATTCTATTATTGATGTTTCTTGATTTCAAAATTTTATTGATTGATTGCTCTTCTATGGAATACTTAGTGCACCATCATTTTGAAAATGGTTGTTGCCTTTTGTGCATTTGCTAAGGGAAAAATATTAGTCACAATGAGTTTGCGAATGCTTTCCGAAGTCGGTATTGAGTTCTTGACTGGATACAGTCAAAAGTCGTTAATTCGGACAATCATAATCCAGACCTAAAAGCTACAAACTTTCTGCGCACAGGCGTTTACGCATGCGCGTAAGACCTTTACGGCTGCGAATACGCGTGTGCGCATGCGCACAATACGTTTACGCATGCGCGTTTAATGTATAACGGACGGTATAAGCTAAGCTAAAATTATCTAATTCAGTTAATGTTGCAGATTGCGTTGTTCCTTAATCTTCGAATTGGATCTGCTTTATTATTTTTTGCAGACTGTTAGAGCAATTTTATAAAAGTAAGCTTGAACTTTCGATTATGTCAAATAGAATTTCCGATATATATTTACTAATATCTAAAGGATCTACAAAGCGAATGTATGTTTCAAAGTCCATTAAACAAAAAGTGGAATTGTTGCAAAAAATGGATAAAGGCATATCCTTCGTTTCTCTAACCATTCCGAAATCTGTTTATCAATTTCACGTTGCTCTGTGGCGAGGGGGGGAAACGCCGCGGCGCGCAATGAATTGGAAGTTTATCTGTTAGCACTATCCTTATTTTCAGGGCAGATGTTTTTATTTTATTTGGCTTATAATTCCTTACTAAATGCAGTATTTCATCTCGATGTACTCCGTCTTTGATATGACTTAAATCAAGTTCCTCGTCATCATAATTCGCTTCCGACAGTGAAGAAAGTGACACAGAGGTTATTGAAAACGAAAAAATTTCGATTGACAAATTAGTTGGTATTCTCGACACAGCAATTATAGGACTTGAACAGCGGAACTTTGTAACTAAACAAGAAATTATGTCTGTTTAATAGAATTATAGAGAAAGTATTATCACATGAAATGAAGCAACTTAAACAACTTACATTGAAAGAAATGTTTAATAAAGTAAACAAATAAATATTAAGCTTTTTTTTTGTAAATTTTGATACCCTTTAGATCATTATTGCTCTTTTTTTCATAAATTACGGTTTCATATTTTTAATTGTATAATTTCTGCATGCCATCTTACCATATTTAAACTGATGATCTATAATCCGGAATCGCCGAAGTCCCGACGAGTCCGGATTAACGACTTTTGACTGTATTTAGAAAATGCCTGTATAGCAAATAAAAAGAAAATGACTTTACTGTACAACACTGGAACTTCTTACTTAATAGAATACTGTGGGAAAAATATTACTAAATTATTACATCCCATTATTACAGTCAAGACATTTGCATTCCTTAGACCTAATCCTTTATTTCTTTTCACCACAAAATAAAAAGTAAATAAAAAATCTGATTAGATCCCTTTGGGCATAATGTAAAATTTGAAGCATTCAGATTTTACATTACACCCAAAGGGGCTTTTTTCTAATGCTTTGTGCATTACCTTTATTTATTAAATATCATGTTCTTCACACTTAAACTATTAAATTCAGTTCAACAGCACTATCACAAAATAATTTCAAAATTAGCATATCTTTAGAATTACCAGTACACAGTCTCGGCGCTGGAGATAAAAATTCCCCCCCCCCCTGGTACAGTGTTGCTAAATGGTTGAGTTTTTAATCAAAAATTTGTTTAAGTTTTACAAAGTATGAAAGAGATAATAAAAGGTTTTTCCAAATTTGGGCTTCCAGATGCCCATATTCAAATGGAGCGTATGTTATTCAAAATTTGACGGTACTGTTGCTTTGTTACAATGCGAGAAACATACATTTATGCAGATTTCTCATTATTTAATTTCTTTAAATATAATACAGGGTTCTAATGTTTGGTGGCATCACTTTGAAAAGTGAACCAACATTTATAGTGAATTAACGCAAAATGCCAAAACAAAATTAATAGTCCTTCTGGAGAAATTACCACTTCAGACTTATTAAAAAAAAAAAAAAAAAAAAAAAAAAAAAAAACACCTATTCTCATTCAATCAATATTTTATTCAGAATAATCTTTCAAATACTTGAAAGTGAATACTTATGTGCAGATAATGCCTATATAAATATGTGAGCTATATTGACCCTTTTAATAATATTTGAGTCTTTCCATCTAATATTATTACAAATATGGTGCAAGTAATATAAAATTAAAATAAATCAGCTTCTATATCCAGCTTTAAAATTTACCTTGTTGGTTTCTCCCACTGTGTGGACCTAGTAAAATGATTGACATAATACACCCGTCCAGATGCAGTTCTTCTTTCTTCCCAACTACAATTCAATTATTAAAATAGAATAAGACATGACTTGCATATATCAGCAACTCCAAATTATACTGGATTCATAGATTTTAAACTATTTTATTAATAAAAAATTTAAATGCTACACATAATTTAATATTTTTTTACATAGATCGAATACGAATTGTTCAGAAATAGATTATATTCAGATATTTACTCTCTTAACTAATGTATGGAATATTTCAATCACACTAAAATTAAAATTACTAAATAATTCACTTCTTACTAAAAAATGTACATTTATTCAAGACTGAAATATTTACAAGGGAAAAGAGAAAGTTGTTAGTTATGAAACAAGACTAATATTTTCCCTTAAATTTTCCTAATTTTCAACTAATAAATTAACAGATATGTTAATAAATATTGCTTTCCAGAAGTTAAGAAAAGTTCGTAGAACTCCACATAAAACAAATAGCTAGTGGAAACCTAACAACATTTATCCAATGTACTTATCCATCACATGTTACAAATACTCTCGCAAAACGTTAATACCAGCAGCAGAAAATGACTGATTTTCGTCATCTAGAAACATCTGGACACAAGCAAGCACTTAATCATCTGACCCAAAGCTCCAATCATGATACTTCCTTAAGTTGGTAACTTAGAATGAGATTCCTGCTTCCCTGTCCAATTACGAACCTCTGGGCAGGGTTGATGTTGACTTTGGCTGCTCTATATCTCACATTCGTGATCCATGATTCTTGTTCGGTCATACGGTTGCAAAGTAGCAATTCATGAAAGCGTATTCAAATAGCCGAGTAGCTGGTGCATAATCTTAAAGGTTCTGATGTGTCAGACACATGGTGAATACTTTCAGTTAGGATAAAAACAAACATAAGACATGAAAACAATTTAAAAATATTCTCATGAAAATGACAGTGGACTAGTAAACATATGACACATGGGAGATGAATGAAATGGTAAATTCAAAATATGTAACACACATTAAGGTTAAAATAGCACACTATGATATCATTCTTTACCCTCAGCTTTTAAGGAAATTATGTTTTAGTTTTCTTGTTTCATCAACAGATAGTGATAGCAGCTTGACTTCTTTCCAGTCATTCTTATCTTATCAAAATATTCTCTCTCTTTCATTTGCACTTAGGCAACTGTAGAAGATGGTTCTGTATTTAAGCAATCGAAACTAGTCCTGCAAAATTTACAAATATTATGTTGATTCTTGATGTTTAACTTCTCCAATAATCTTTATGCATTGTTATGAATCAAAATTATTTGAAACTTTAAACTTCACTGTATGTTTCCGCTAGTATTAAAGATGATTTAAATTTAAAATAATTTTATTCTTTAAATAATGAAATGAATTCCACTGATCCTGCTATCCAGTTCACTTTTGAACTTGAGACATCCAAATTTTTCCTGTTCCTCGACATTTTGGTCACATGGTACGAGGGCTATCCAGAAAGTAGATTACGTTTTGGAATAAAAAAATAAACAAAGTATAGGAAACAAATTTTATTATATACAGATGAAAGCCACACTCAAATACTACTTTTCTACATAGTCACCATACAAATTAAGGCATTTATCGTAGCGATGTACGAGCTTGGAAATTCCTTCGTCGAAAAATTCGGCCGCCTGCGCCTTCAACCACTTCGTTACCTCTTCTTGCAGCTGTGCGTCGTCATCAAAACGCTGCATAGCCAGCCACTTCTTCATTGCTGGGAATAGGTGGAAGTCGCTCGGTGCCAGGTCGGGACTGTACGGCGGATGAGGAAACAACTCCCACTTAAAAGATTCAAGAACTTTACGAGTGACATTTGCCGTGTGGGGCCGGGCGTTGTCGTGAATCAACAAGATCTTAGAGCTCAACATTCCTCTGCGCTTGTTTTGAATTGCTCTTCTGAGTTTTTGGAGAGTTTGGCAATACCTTTGAGAGTTTATTGTAGTGCCTCTTTCCAGGAAGTCCACCAAAATTACACCTTTTCTGTCCCAAAAAACAGTCGCCATCATCTTCCTTGCCGACATTGTTTGCATGCATTTCTTGGGTTTTTGGGGAGAACTTGTGTGCCCCCACTGCATTGATTGCAATTTCGTTTCACAGTTCACATGTTTCACAGTTCACATGTTTCACCCATGTTTCGTCACCAGTAACGATGCGATCGAGTAAAGAGTCACCATCCTTATGGTAAGCGTCCAAAAAGTTCAACGCTGCAGCCATTCGCTGATTTTTGTGGTCCTCTGTCAAGATTTTTGGAATCCATCTTGCACAAAACTTGTGGTAACCAAGCTTTTCGCTGATGATTTCGTGCAACAAACTTCGCGAAATTTGTGGAAAACTCAAAGAAAGTTCCGTTATTGTGAAATTTCGATTTTCACGGACTTTAGCATCGACTTTTTCGAGAAGTTCGGCGGTCACTATGCTGGGTCTCCCACTTCGATCTTCGTCGTGAACATTGGTTCGGCCATTTTGAAATCTTATGACCCACTGACGCACTCCACCTTCAGTGATAATGTTGTCCCCATACACTTCACGAAGCTGCCGATAGATTTCTATCGGTTTACAGTTTTTTGCAGTCAGAAACCTTATTACTGAGCGCACCTCGCAGCTCGCGGGATTTTCAATTAACGCAGACATTTCAAACCGTCACAGTATCTGAACGGAGCACAGCACGAACCTCTCACTAGCACGGCTAGATGCAGACTGAGCTGCGCAACGCTCTGACCCCAAGATGGCCGCGCTAGCCCCGCCCCTAGCGGACACAGACGGAAACGTAATCTACTTCCTGGATGGCCCTCCGTAATAGAGTTTTAATCCAGTTGTCTTCCCCACACTTAAAGATTCTTAAAAAAACAAAGTTAGCTTCTTTTTTTGTTTTCTTCATTAGTTGAGCACACTCTTTCGAATAATCTTAAAAATCATGACAGATTTCAACCTTAATAGTTTAAAAAAATTCTCGTCTCAACACATCAAAGGCACTCTCTCATCTTAGAAGATTATAAGAATTATATTTCCATTCCTTTCTTTCCATTGATTAGCTATAAAACTGCACATATTTTACAGAAATTTAATTTTCAACTGGCCAAACTAAAATAGCAAAACCAGCTAAACTAGTCCTGCAAAATTTACAAAAGTTATGCTGATTTTTGTTATTTAACCTTCTCCAATAATAAAACACGTATAAAAATATTAAGTACATCTACTAAACAAACAACTAATAACAATTTAAATTAGATGATAAAATCCAGTCTTTTTCAAATATAGAAGGAGCACTGACTTCTTATCTGACTAAGCAGTGAAGAGGTTAGTCAAGGTTATTAATATACTTCAAACAAACTTCTTTCAAATAAGAGCACTCTATTAAAATGTGATGCACTGATTAAACAGCATTACACTTTGAACAAATGGGTTCACTCTCAGCTTTTGTAAGATAACTATGCATAATTTAAGAGTGACCGATTCTAAGGCAAGTTAAAAAGGCCTCCACCTAGTTTCTAGTTGCCTTCTGATATTCAACAAGAGGATTAACACTTTTAAGTTTGTTATTCACCTGAACATTTCATAGTAACTGCCACATGCTCAGGACTTTTTCATCAATGAACTTGTGGATACCTTTAATACCTCTACTCAAATTCATGTCCTTGATTGATGTCAAACTAGCTCTACTTGAATTGATGTCAAACTAGCTCTACTCGAATTGATGTCAAACTAGCTCTTGATCAAGAATTAAATTACTTAAAAAAAGTTTCTATTGACAGGGAATTTTCACCCAAAATTATTAATCAAGTGGTTAAAAAATTCTCGTCTCAACACATCAAAAGGCACCCTCTCATCTTAGAAGATTATAAGAATTATATTTCCATTCCTTTCTTTCCATTGATTAGCTATAATGATTGATTAGTAATAGTAGTTCCATTGATTAGTAATAGTAATTCCATTGATTAGTAATAGTAGCTGGCACACTAAAGCCAGCGATTCAGTTGGCGAAATGGCTTCCGCTACCATTGTGGCTTGAATATCAAAGATTCGAATAGCTTCTGCCCATCTAGTAAACCGATCGATAGTTGTTGGGCAATATGTGAAACCGTTGCAAGGTTGAAGTGGGCCGATAAGATCTATATGAATATGTTGAAATTGCATAGAAGTTTCACTAAATGATTGTGAAGGGGACAAAGCGTGTTTGTGTATTTTAGATTTCTGGCATGTAATACACTGTCTGGCCCAGTTTTTGATATCTTTGTTGAAATTTGGCCACATATATCGACTATGAACAAATTTACGTACGCAATTAAAACACAATTTTCGAAATGCCTTGGGAATATCAGGTCTTGCTATGCCAGTAGATATATCACAATAAAATTCTATTTCTGAATTTGCAAGCTTATTTTTTTCATTTCTAAAGAATTGTTAATGTTAAGTATTTCTTTTAATTAAATTTTTCTTGATTATTTTTGAGCAATTTCATCATAATTGATAGGACCAACAATTTTAATTTTGTGAATGTGAGACAATGTGTCGGCAACAGTATTATCAGCTCCTTTAATGTAATGAATATCAGTTGTGAATTGAGGAGAAATAAAATCTAATTGGGCAGTTTGAAATGGGAGCAATTTTCAAGTTTTTGTTTGAAAGCAAATATTAAAGGTTTGTGATAAGTAAATACTGTAAATTTGTGTTGCTCTAGCATGTATCTAAATTTGTGAATGGCTGAGTATATTGCTAATAATTCTCTAGCATTTGCACCGTATTTTGCCTCAGTGGTCGTCAGCTCTCTAGAAAAAAAATAATGCTAGGGGTTCAAGTCCTTGTTTAGTAACTTGATTTAGAGATCCACCAAAAAAGGCTGAAGCAGGTCAAGAGGAATTGAAAAGAGAAATTACTGTGATAATAGAAAACAAATTTGTGGCTACGGATGGTAGAATAGACATGGTTGAAGATAAAATTGAAGAAATTCAAGAAAGAGTTTTAGCTGTCGAACAACAAATCGAAGAAAGAGGCTGTTGTTCCCC